CCGGAATTCGCGTCATAGAATTCAGTGAGTGCATTTGTGAGAAGATCAACCGAATTAGCCTGCGTGTCCCGCGTCGCTGCTCCTGTTGACTGCAAACTCAAGCATTGTGTCAGATTTTCGATCCTTTTCATTTCTGCCTCCATTTTTGGTTGCTGTTGGAAAGCAGCTTTTGAAATTGTTCATCGGAAAAATTCACATTTCCAATTTTCTCCGTCGCCATTTGTTATCATCTCGCTAGACACGATTCCGAAAATAGGCATTTTACTGCTCCACAAAAGCTTTAGCCCAACTAACGGAAAAGCAGTGCACCCACGACCTTGACAAACTAACATGTCAACTGCCGTCAACAAAACGCTGTACAAATGCAGCGGACCTTGGCTTTGTTTATAGGCCACTTACTGACCTTCGACTTCTAGAATAGGAAGGTCAACCGCCAAGGTTAGTTGTTCCACATAGTTTTGACCGATCCTTAGGAGGTTACTAGTCACGTGCAGACACTGGAATATCCCGGAACTTTGAAGTCGATGCGATAATCTATAACAATTGACTAATCGCTAAAATAATGGATTTTTCGGGTGTTTTTCTTCTTCTGTACAATGTCAGTTATATATTTTTGTGACTTCGAAGCCAGAAGTCGCGGGATTATGCAACCTTAACGCAGTCTACGTGTTATGTTGACTTCACGAGAGATCCTCGTAGACATTCACACGGGTTAAGGAGCTACGGTTTTTTAGAATGAAATTTATTCCTCACGGTACGCTCATCAGCGACGGATGGTGTGAAGGATAATGAAATTGATCATGCCATCGACAATCTTCAAACATCATATATTACGCGGTATATTATATACGTGTACGGCGCTCGCGGGTCGCTTGACGGAGCGTTACGGTCTGTCCTGTTATGATGATGACCAGCTTGATTTTCACCAATTTTCTCTTCTTGAATGACAGTGAACCGTCAGGGTGCCGTGTGTGATGGTGATAGAGAGATAATACTTGTGCAATAATCTTCATAAGACGACCTTCGACCCTTATCAGATACCGGAATGCTGCTTGACAACCGTCAATCAGGAGACACATATCTACTGCTGCTCAACTATCTGAACGAAGCAATCGGACCGACCACAATTGGATCATCACTATCCTTTAAGGCGTTAGCAGTACGTCGGTACGCATTTCCCACGCTTTGCTGCCACGAAACTACCAGCCGCGTGTGAACCTAACACACTGCGCGGGTCACTCGGTCCCCTACGCGGGCTCTAACATGCGACCTGCAGATTATGAGGCAGGTTACTGATCTAACCCGTAGCCTCATGGATAGCCATCCTATCTTGTGATCTGAGGGTGCCGATTCGAGCCTGCGTAGGGACCGGACGACCCTCGCAGTATCCTTAGCCCACGGGCCGGCCCACTGTCTTTTAGAGCAAATGGGTTATTGTCCCATCTAACTCCCATGTTTCATTCACTTCATTGACCCTTAGCCGTGATCAGCTGGAAATCATCCAGCAATCAACTATCTGGGCAGCTATATTAACAACTGTGGAATAGATAATGAGTTCGCTAACCGTATAGTTGACGTGTGATGCGCTTTTGCCAATCTCCGCCACCTGTGGCGCCGGCCTGACATCTCACTCACCCTGAAGGACAGAGTTTACAATGCATCCTTTTGTTCAACCCTTTTGTACAGTTTCGAATCCTGGCCCATCAGATTGACACGTAAGGAGGTTAGTTGCGTTCGACCATCGCTGGCTTCGCAGTTTAACTCATGTCTGGTGGGAGCACAACGTGAACACTGAGCGTGTTCGACATCTCGTGTTCGGTCCTGAGAGACCGAGTGAACCGCTCACACTGTAATATCGTTGCACCAGGTTCTGATGTCTGGACCACGTGTTGCGTATACCAGCACCCTGACTTCCGCGATGTGCAACCAAGGTGTGGATGTAAGGGGAGGAAGCGAGTTTATCCCAATGTCTCGATCAAGAGGAACGAAAATACTAATTTCAGCATTGGCGTCAGTCAGTGTCTCCGGACTGCCTAGCAGAAGTCCGAGGGATGATGGATACGTTTGGTCAGATACACTAGTTGATCCCAAAGGCTTTCGTGTGGGGAGTCTCTTTGTCCCCCTCGTTTAGCTTTCCCTTTCGCATTACGACCTCTTGCTCTGTGCATAATATGATACCTAACATTGTCTTACTTGCCTTGGTGGTTTATTCTGTATTCCATAATGTTTCTTACTGTTTTAAACCTCATCTTTTTGTATCGCGATGCGATTAGCTGTGAGATCTTTGTCACCTTCAACACTTGTAATGACGGGTCACTTTTGTAGCTTATTGATACTTCGAGTTGCACCATCAGCAGCACTCTAAGACAGTCTATGTGAGTTAGAAAGTAGCGGCACTAATTAACCAGCTCACTCGCTCCTTAAAATCGCCCTGCCCAACATTATTATCTGATAGGCTTGGTAGTAGCTTAACTTCTATCTTCCTTAAGTATGCTTCGACTCATTGTGTTTTCGTGGGAACCTGTGTTTCATATTAGTCTAAGCAGTATTCAGTAGTACCTGGTAGCACTTATTGGCCTGTACTAAACACCGCGCCCTTGGTCCCTCCTGTTCAGTACTTTTTGGGAACCCGCGTGGCGAACCGCTTTATGGTACTCCATCCTTTGGTTCCAAGAAACTAGGGAAATCTCGCAGATCTATCCACAATTTGGATGTATCAATATTTGTGGGCAAACGCCCTTTAGTGACTTTCTATGTCACGCTGAGTAGGATTACGCTCGTTATTCGTCTCATTTACCGCGTTCTTTGGTAATAACTGATGCGTCGGCGTTGATTCTCGCACTGAAGATCAAACTTAAGACTGGAGAATCCCGAACTTAGGCGCTTTGCGTCGTACTATGCAAGCACTTAATATGATATTCTCGGGATAGCCATTCCGCATCGAGCGACAAATTGTCAAATTGGGTCCCGTACATGATTTTGTTTGGGTGCCAAGTATCGAGACTGGGACAACTGTGCTGGGGTGTGGCACTGAGTACCAGTCACTAACAGCACGTAGTAGGAAATGCTGATCGCTGTTGTCTTTCCATTTAACAGCTACCTAGAAACAACCACTCAGATTCTGTTCTGTCTCCGAAAAGCGACCAACTTTGGCGGTAGTACTTCCTGCTGCGATCGGACTATTCCTGTCTTTGGTGTTTCATTTGCAAGTCGTCGGCTGCCAGAATAATTCGTCATCGCCCTCACCCGAGTCACATGCACACGGCTATTCACTGGATTATTGTCAGCTACATTGCCCTCAACGTTTTAGATGAATGCGTCAGCAACACTGCAACCGACTGACTCAGCACCACCAGAGACGCCAAGTGTATGCTGGTCATCACTGGTTATCTAAGTTTTGCTGGTGTGCCAATACCTTTTATTCGTGCTTTGGAAATATCTTGCGCATAGCACTAGAAAATGCTGTTTGTTGACCGATCCGACGGAAAGTGGGTCCGTTTTTTAAGATACTATTTGTAACTTCTGAAGCGCAGAAAATGGGGTGACGCAAACCCAACGACTGGCTGGCCCGTCGCCTAAAGAATCACAAGGCTGCCTTGTAATCTGACGGCGCGGATTGGGGCCCGCGTAAGGGCCAGGCGACCCAAGCAGTATCCTTAGCTCACGCGCGATCGGTGGTTGTTCTGCAGTAGCGAAACGTCGGTACTGCGTATTTGTGTACTACTGCTTTTACCTACGTAAAGACGGAATTTGCTCGAGATTCTCACTTCGGCGCTCTGGCTCGGGAGTCAGTAATAATAATTAATAATAATAATAATAAGGTGTCAGCTGTACGCCGTAAAGGCGCTTCGCTGCCGCGCGACCACCACCAGTCGCGCGCGGGCTGAGTATACCGCGAGGACGCCCACCCCTACGCGGATTCGAACCGGCGACCTTATGGTTGCAAAGCAAACGTGCAGACCACTCGGCCACCGGCCGACTCGGGAGTCAGTAGCGGAAAAGCGTATTAGGGAAGTATTAATCTGAGGCTTGCCTGACGCTAACCATATGCAGCTGCGTCACTTACTGAAGTGGATACTTTCGTCTCGTATATTTGAATAAGTATTAGTTCATGTATGAAAACCTTCAATGAGGAAGTATCATGATCTGTTCTCTTGATGTGCAGCTACTGTTTTGAACGTGCAAGCATTTTTCAGTCCTTTTCAATGAAGCCATATTGAATACTCGAGAAACAATGTAGTTCGCCAGAATGCACGCATGCATTGAATATACGAAAACTAAGTCACTTCTTGCAAATTACCATTTTGACTGTAGTGCATAAAACGACTCCCTTTAGTCGTTGAGATGTCTTTCTCAAGGTCACTTGATCTTTGAAACATTGTGGGACATATCACTGGGATGTCTGACTTGGGTTTAACCACACATACATGGAAAGTCTACTATTGGTTGTATGGAAGCATCTGAATGTACTCAATTTGTCATCACATAAACTTTCTCATAAGGTTTCCATCACAACTAGATCGAACCTTACAATTGCCACGCATCTGAAAAATCACTTGGACGGACGTTTCTTCTTACCGAAACAACTTGTGGTGTCGAACTCCTAGCGACCCGAACTTTGAACATCTTAATCAGTGACTTATGCCACTGGAACAAAGCTCACAGTGGCTGCTCATTTGCCTGTTTCGTTCTTCATTACCACACCTTTTAATACCTTGCAGAGGGATTACTTTGGCCCTCAGAGCTACCACACCTTGGCATTACAAACGCATCGAGCACGTGGTGGTATCAAGGTAGTTGTGAAGAGTGTTGAAGCGTTTCCAATGGTTTGCTCACAGTTTGACTCGGAAATTGAGTTATCTCAGGAAACGGGCTAAAATTTCAATCCTCTCACTATTGTTAGCTTCTTTATTTGTTTGTATGTTTCATTTTTATCCATTGGTCAAAGCATCTGCTCCGTTGCACTTTCATCCAATTATTCTACTTTTCTTTGTCAACAGTACGTTGCTGTTCTCTTTTCCGAGACTCTAATGTGGGGTCTCGCTGTCCGGTTGTTCAGTATCCAACAGTTGGCTGATCGCGATCCATCAGTGCTCCTTTCTCTCCCTCGCCTGGCTGTTTTGGTTGGCACTCGAATATTACCCGACTCTCCTATCGGGGCAAATCGACTGGCTGCGGGGTAAGCACTGACCGACATTCGTTTTATCACCTACTCACTTTATGAGTATTCCCTCTCTCCTTGTTACCATTGTTCCTCTAGGTCCTGTACCGTCATCACAGCATTTGATTATTCGTGCAATCAGATTTTACTGCTGGCTACCCTGATTTGCTCAGGCATTTCACCACCCCAATCTTTCTGCTGTCGCTGATTCTACTACTATTTTCGCCCCACCTGTTGTCCACGTTCATCGCCATTATCTTGTATTCTTTTAGACATCGGTTGCCATTCATGTTCGCGGGCTCTCGCAGTGACCTGACTTACCTCGCACGACAGCTGTACGCTCTGCGACTGGACCAACTTTGTCGTTTGGCACGGTGGCTCGGACCCCGTGGTCTACCTACTTTGATCACTTCAGAGCAACAGAAGCAGCAGTCTATCTCAATCAAAAATGCAAGTCAGACCTCATTGTGTGGTCGAAAAACCACAGCATCTTCCAACTCCCAGCTGTTACACACATGCGCTGGCTCTAGCCCCCGAGTCCCCAGTTATTCAATGTTTTCATCCAGCTGGTCGGGTAACTCCAATCTACAAACGGTTCGAACCTGGCGTACAAATTTATCCGGTCTGCATCAGCTTTATAAGCGACTCTCTGCGGTGGCCGACGAGTTTAGCACCAAATTCCCCACTGAACTACGCTACATTCTTCAGGTGTGTCCATCTTAATTTTCCACCACTCCGTGTCCTCTTTTGAATATCCACTCATTGTTTCGTATCTGCTCAGCTGCATTCGTGCCTCGTTGGCCTACAACTGCGCCTAGGTTAATTTTATTCTTGCTCTTATTGCGTCACGCTAGTCTCCAAGCATGCAACTAGTGTACTTCCAATTCAAGCATCCTAACCCCTACCCTCACGTTTCTCGCATGGATTAATCAAGCAGGAGCCGGGTCGATTGTTGTAGGCTACATCTAATCAGACACAGTCCCGTCATTCACTGAGGCCGGGCGCAGCCATTGTGAATTGTCAATACTTTGTCTTGCCTGATTCCATTATACTAACTTATGTTCGTCTTCATTTACTTGCTGGTTAATACGGGTACATTTTAAGAGGATATCCGAGGCACTTACACCTAACCGAGTCTCATCATTTTCTGGATTGCTTATCCGAGTAATTACTCCGTTAAGTCTCACGGGTTCTAATGACGCGGCACGTTGCCTCACATTAGTAGGATTACTTGTTTGGCTGTGACTGGATCACATCGACCATCGCGACGAGACTGGACCTTAACGCGGTGCCATGGTTTGAGTGAGCCAACGATCCATTGGGCTATGCTGGGTGGTGATTTTGCACATTCACGGCCAAACATGTCAGATTTGCCAATGGTTAGGGGCCTGACAAACTCAGTCTCCTGGCTCTCCAAGTTGAGGGTTGGAGTGAGGTTGACTTCTTAGAGAAAATGGGCTCTGTAGTCCAGGGCCAAAATCCCGCTGCCTTGCGGTCAGGTTTTCAAACCAAAGGCTTTGGTTGAAAACTCTAATCGTTCTCCTGTCTAGACCAGGGCAAGTTGAGTATCCTGTGAATGCAATGCAACATTACGACCTCTCCTTCAAATAATGTCTTGATGCTCTAGCCGCCGTGGAGGATAATAAACGACGCCCTATCTGCTGCATCGAGGAGGATGCATGGGGGTTTGGATGCTACTGCTCAAACCTTCCCGTCTTCTTATTCCTGCTCTTGCGCTTTTTCATCTTTATCGACCCGTTCCAACTTCACTTTTATCCCCTCTGCTTTCATTCCCCCATTCTTAGCCCTCCCTCATCTAATTTCGACTCACACGCAACCGCAGGGCGTCGCTCCGGTCCAGTCGTTAAGTTCATGTCCAGCCAAACGGACAGCGTCAGCTCTTCTGTTTCTCTTTGGACCCCTCGGTCCCCCCTAAGACTGGCATGCCTCTGTGTGCGCACTTGATTCAAAAATGGCCAACAGGCAACACTTGCCCAAGCACTGGATTTTCTGTCAATCGATATCTGCTGCTTGTCTGAAACGCCTGCAAGATTCGAGTTCTGTGCTTACGCTGCGATCCTCAACGTGTGACACCGGCGATATTTGCTCATTGCGTTTGTACGGAGATGAAGCGGCTGCAAATGCCGGTCAAGCCGGTGTGGGCATAGCTCTTAGCCCCCCGGCTGAATCTCCCTCGATCAACTAGGTCCCAATGAACAGCCGGATGTGCGCTGCCAGATTCGCTGGCTCGTTCAATGCATCGAAGTTGCGTGTGGACAAACGGTGCTTGTTTCTCATTGCAGCCTATTCACCCACAAAATGTAGCGCTGACTGGCGGAAAGACAACTTCTATCACCAATTAAACGTGCCCCTTCGCTACAGAAAAAGTACGGATACTCGCTCGCTGGTGATTTGAACGCCCAAGTCGGTAACCTTCCACTGATGCGGTTCATCTGGAAGGTCTACACCGTGTAGGCTCCCGTAGTGCTAACGGTGAGCGGTTGCTACAACTGTGTGAAAATGTTCGTCTCTTTATTGCGAGCACTAACTTCCGACAAATCACGCACCGGTGCGTGACATGGCGCTCACCACCCTCGGAGCAACCATGCACGCAAATCGATCACATTGCCATCAGCTACCGCTGAACTGGATGCGTTCAAAACTGTCGCTCGATTTGGAGCACGAGCATGGACTCTGAACCCGCATTTGCTTGTGCTGACCTCCGGGTGCGTTTCGGTGGACGTCTGCAACGGTGCTGCGAACGCATGGATATTAGTCGGCCGGCGAAGCCAGATGTTTTAATCGTGTATGAAAGTACCCTTGCATTTGAGCTGACTAATCGACCATCGAACACAGTTGAAGATTATGTTCGCTTATGCGCTAGACGTTATTATCAGCATGCATATGGGAAATCAAATTACCAACCACAAAATTGGATCACTGTGCAGTCTCTGGAACTTTTAGATGCTCGCCGACATGTTCCCGCTAGAAGCGCATACATTGAGACTCACAAAGATCTCAGGATGAAAATGCGTGCTAGCCTAAAGAGAAACCGCGAAGCCTGGTGGTCTCATCGTGCATAAAGAGATGGTGACGACCGCTACACTTGGTAACAATCAGGCGTTATTCCGTTTAATATGAGAAACGGCACCAGGAAACCTGATGTTAACGACACTATATGTGACGAGAGTGGACAGCCGATCCACAGCTTGTCAAAGGACTTGCAGCGTTGGGCCGAACAAAATGCGAAGCAGTTTAATTAGTCAAAGTTGCCAGTTTCTTCATCCGCCAATGAACATCCTACTCCCTGGGCTGTCCACTTGGATCCGCCTCCACGCGCAAAAATCCAACTTGAGATCAGACGGCTGAAATTGGATAAGGGCGCTGAAGAAAATGGACATCATCCAGCCCTCTACAAATTCGGAGACCCGCTCTTTTGGAAAATTTACAAAGCTGATTAGTCGGTATAGGGGAGCAGAAGACTGTCACAACCGACTGGAGCCGCTTCGTTATAGTCCCAGTTCTCAAGAAGGCTAAAGTTCAGAATGCAGCAGTCTGATCTCCGTTGCCTCTAAGTTACTTGCCTCTACCATACACCGCAGACTGACGGGAATCCGTGAAAGCCAAATGAGTGAGGAGCAGGCCGGGTTTCGTTGAAATCGAGGCTGCACTGACCACATCTTCACATTATGTCAGTAGTTGCAGCACCACCACGTGTATTGACGACCCAGCGGAGTCGAGTTCCTAGACATCATAGGGGCCTTTGATTCGGTGGTTCAATGTGCGCTTTCGGACTGCCTACTGAGGAAAGATGTGCGCGACAAATAAGTATATGTCATAAGATCGCTGCACGCAAGTAGTTCGGACAGAGTGAGGGTTTACGGCAATCTTTCGCCGCCATTCAATATCTCCAGTGGCGTGAGACAACATCGCCCGCGGTCACCTCTCCTCTTTAACTTCGCCATTGACGAAGTTACGGAAATGGCGTTCGCTGGGCACAACTTACATGTGAAGATGCACCCAGGTGACCGACTTCTTGATTTGAAGCATGCTGACGACATTGCGCTGGATAAATTAGCTATTGCTGTCAGTGGTTTCGGACTATGCTTTACACCCTGGAAATGCGAGGTGCTTCCGCGAGATTGGCAGGGACCAACCCTTGCGCTGAACCTTGATGGTAGTCAGCTAGAAGTCGTCCAGATATTTAAGTATCTGAAAAGCTATATTAGTGCTCGTCGGGTTGATAAGGAGATCACGAACCGTATAGCAAAACCTCGATGCGCATTTGCCAATCTCCGCCACTTGTGGCGCCGGCGTGACATTATTCTCGTTGTTTGCGAAGCATTGCTGGTGTCGAATGGCACCAGCGTGTCCGCAACGATGATGTGCCTAGGCGAGTACCAGGTGGTGATAATCATGCTAGCTCCTTAGAACAACAGATAGCACTGAATAAGTTGCGTTGGCTCGGGCACGTACTACGCATGCCTGGTCACCTCTTACCTAGGAGGGCCTTGTTCAGTCTACCAGGTGTAGGGTGGCGCAAAGTTAGAGGTGGACAGAAGTTGACTTGGCAGTGGGAAATGAAGTCACTGACGACTAAACTGGGTGCCGTTGGTCCGTCTCGCCTTCCGGGTTGGAGTCCACGTGACTCACCTTGTGCTTGGTTCGAGACTTTACATGACATGGCTCGCAGTAGACACCAGTGGCGCGTCCGCTGCCGTCTCCTAATCGGATTGTCTGTTTAAAGTGTGTTTGGTGCTGAGTTATCTGCGGCGTAATGGCTGATTATGACGCGTGGCAGTGAAAGCCGCAAGGAAGCTGTCTCGCCGATGCCGCCTTATCTTTGCACGATAGGCAGCTGTTTGTGACGGTATGTTGTTAACACAAGGTGTAGGCGCCTTGACCCTGAATGTTTGCTTAGGGCATTAAGGTTTTCAGCTAAGTCCCCCTTTCTCTCCCTCTTCTTATTCATTATTTCTTAGGTCCTCATGGTTGCATGGCAGCGAAGCATCAGTTCAAACGGCTGATGTACTGCTGTTGATGATGATGATGATGACTGAAGAGCAGAGTTTACAGTGCACTCGTGCGTTCCACCCTCCCTTACGGTTGCGAAACACGACCCATCAGCTCGACAGACGTAAAGAGGTTTGTTACGTTCGACCATCGCTGTTATCGCAGCTCAGCTCGTCTGGTGCGAGCGCCGCGTGCGCAGGGAGCGTGTTCGGGGTCGCGTATTTGGTGCAGAAAGAGCGAGTGGGCCGCTCAGCACTGTCCTATCAAGCACCAGAGTCCTATAGCTGAGCCACGTGTTGCAGATGCTAGCACAACGGCTTCTGTGTCGTGCACTGTTTTCGCTTCGGGGGTGTGGGTGAGCGAACATGATTGAAGCCCAAGCGATTACTCGATCAAGATGTATGAGGTCGCTCACTTCGAAGTTGGCATCGGTTGGCGTTTTCCGACACCTGAGTTCTGGACAGAAGGATGATAAAGACGTTTGTTTGGATGCACTAGGCGACATGATGAAGAGCCGACCGCAGTGGCGTTTGTGTTGTTATTCCCTTTGTTCCTTCCCTTCCTTTTATTTTCCCCTGCAACAGCCATTAAAATATAAAATTAGCATTATGTTAGTTGCTATAGCTTTTACATCTAAATTGCTTAATATCTTACTTTTTTATAATGCGGCATATTAACTGAGGTGTGTTTCTCAC